AAAATCTGTTTAATGTATATTATACAACAGTACCATTTGGATTACCATATCAGTGATACAGTGTACAGCATGTATTGACATGAAGTAAAGAGGACAATGAGAGGTTAGTACACAGGTGTAATAATATTGACTTAGATCAGATCTAGCATGGGGGACATGGTAATTAGTCTAAGCATATGAAAGTGAGACCATAGGTATCTTTATAGTTAGATGAGTAGTAAGAAGAGACAGAATTTAGCACAGATTCTTGTGTTCTGGCTTGAAAAGCTGAACTTGTAGATGTCATCAAGACAAAAGGGGAAAATGACATGAGTTCAGCTTTAGACACTGAATATCTGAATGTATAGACTGGATTGTTTGGCTTGCCTATACCTGTATAGAGAAGGTGGATAAGTGGTTCAAAGTAGGCATTTAGGAATTTTTTTCAGATCTTGTCTTTTAAGAAGACAATAACAGAAAAGCAACAGCCATGCCAAAAATGGTAACAGTCAGATGCAGTATATTTAGTGCATGAGCTGAGCTACATGGATGCTCAAGACCATTTACAAGTTCCTTATTGGGACATGTTAGGGGCCACTGCCATCAGGTACATTTCAAAGCAAGTGTCTTTCATGCTTGTGTGCTTCCCAAGCCTTATATAAATATATGACACTGCGTGAGCTGTGCCGTTCATAGCAAGGTGGTCAGATATGGATCTGAAAAATCCTGAAAATACTGAATACACTCTTTCCTATGTACACCTGTTGATTCTGACCCGTTACTCCCACTATAGCACATTTGGAAAGCTTGATTTTTAAGACTAGAAGGAAAGTCATCTTCTAGAGAAATAAAATGTAAATTAATACTTTTTAGAGAAAGGAGTCTAGAGGTTCATGCAGAGGTCTGAGACAGAGATGTGAAGTTTAGTTATATATTTAAAAAAAAGACAAAAATTCAATATAAACAAAAACAAAAGTTCTAAAAATCTAAGCCTATTCTATTCCAATGTTTAAAAAATCAAGGAGGAAAAGAACCAATGAATGACCATAAGAAGCATCTACTCAAAGATAGGTATAAAGTGTAGGACTTGAATTTTCCTGTATACCATGCAAGAAAATAGTCCTTCCAGAGTGAATGAGTGTTCATCACTGATTTCAACAATGTGAATATCATTAGTAACCAGGCTATTGAGATAGATAGATAGATAGATAGATAGATAGATAGATAGATAGATAGA